GGGGCCCTGCGAGCCGGCCCTGCGACAGTGCTCTCCGTGCAATTGTCAAATGAATGAGAAGCTGCCAGGCTGCGAGCTCGAGCAGGGCCCGGTCGCCTCGGAGCGGGAGCCGAGCCGCTGTAGCGAGGCCCGGCCGCGCACCTGTCCCCCACCGGCGTGCTGCGATCTTAACGATGGCGTTCCGTCGCCGCTGTGATGCTCCACCTGGCTGTCTCCCCGGCTGGAGGCTCAGCCTTTCCAAAGGTGCCGGCGGAGTTCAAGGGTCTTGACGCTTCTGAAGGATCTGGGGGCAGTACAATAGGCAGCAGGCCGGGCTGTGCAGGCCTGGCCACTTCAGGGTGGGGGCTCGGTAAACTGGACTTTTCAGTGCTTGCCCCGCCAGTGAGACGATCGTTCTGTGGCCGCGGCAATTGTCGGGCAGGGTCGAAGTGCATGCTGTTTCGCGTCTGGCATAGAAAATTATGAAGATGGGCTTGCCGAGAGTGGCCCGCCCGGTCCGCGTTAGAAAATCTCTTGGGGGCGACGGGTCTTAAGGTTAACCTTGAGTTTTTCGTTCAGCATCAGTACTGGGGGAAGTGGTTTTTGCAGAACTTGCCTCAGACTTCTGCATGACACTAATTTAATTCCCAACGGAACCAAGAAGACATCGAGTCTTGGCCCAGAAATACTGCCTGTCTTATTTTATGCATAATTATAGGCATTGAGGACTCATTTTTAGCCAGGTGAACTCTTCCCGTCTTCCTCTCGTTCTGAAAAGCCGCCACCCCCCTTCTTTAACCTCAAGAATAGACGCTGCCAGTAATTACACTAACTTTTACAAGAGTCATTAATTTTTTTTTTTCTTAAGCGGCTGGACAAACATGTCATGTTTTGTTAATTTTAATAATGGAGAGGGAGGGGTGAAATCAATGTATTTTACCAGCATAAATGAAACCTAGTTTGTAAATCCGTGAGAACAAACATTTTAACCCAGGTTTTCACTCAGGCCACAACAAGCGATGTGTTCTTAACAGTGAGTTTGATGCTCTTACTTTTTGAAAGTTTTGATCATCAGTACTGCATTATGAAGAGTGGTGCACATGCATTCCAGCACAGCTTAAGCTTTCTACAGCTGGCAGCTCGGTTTTAGCATCAGACTTTTAATGGTCTTACAATTCAATACATTAGTATTATGAACACGGTTGTAGGTTCTGGAGAAGCAGTTATAATAAATACCTCTTACAGTGCTTCAGGATAGTGTTCAAAGGCCTGGAGTAAAGCCTAGCTCCTTTCATTAAATGGAGTCTCATTCATTGATTTGGCAAATAAGAAAATTGATACCTACTATGTGTTGAACATCATTTAATGGGAATTAAGAATGGGAATTACATGCATGATCCAAAAAAAAGACAAAGCCCCAGACCTAAGGGAGTAACAATTCTATCTCCTCAACAGTTTGCCTTAGCAAATTGTAACCCATTGCTATCCGGTTGATCCTGACTCACAGCAACCCTGCGTGAGTCTGTGAATCTTTACCAGAGCAGTTAGCTTCATTTTTCTCCTGAGAGAAAGGATTGGCCGGGGCCAGAGGGTTTGAACCTCTGACTGTAGGTTAGCAACTCAACAAGGCCACCAGGGCTCTTTGTAGCAAATTGTAGTTTTTCTAACTCTTACGGCCCAACTCTGATCCTTGAACAAAATCAGTTCTCTGGTACCTGTGTGAGCACTGAAAGCAAACCAGACCCACTTGCTGTGGGGTAGATTCCAACTCAGTGATACTATATAGGGTTTGGGAAACTAAATATTTGTGGGAACAGGCAGCCTCATCTTTCTCCTATGGGTCGCTCCTGGGTTTGATTGTAGCCCTTGCAATTAGCAGCCCAGTTAGCACCCATTGAATATTCAGTGGGTGCTGCCTGTTCTTTTAATCTTTTCATGTTACAGATGAGGAAACTGAGTCTTGGAAAGGTTATGCATCTTGCTCAAGATCATACAACTAAGTGATAGACCCTAGATTTGAACCCAAGTCACTGTCCCAGGGCCTTTGCCTGGCGCCCTTCACTTTAACCCGCTCACTGCACTTAAGTTGAGTCTTACTGTCAAGTTGACCCTATAGGACAGAGTGGACCTGCTCTCTTAGGGTTTCCCAGACTAAATTTTTATGGGTGTAGACCTTGTCATCTCTGCCCCCCCCCCCAACCCAAAATATTGCTATCAGGTTGTTTCTGACTTATAGCTGTCATAGGTAGGGTTTCTGAGACTGTACATCATTACAGATGCATGTAGTTTTATCTTTCTCCCTCTGAGAAGCTCTTGGATTTGAACCACTGACCTTGGGACTCAGTCGAACAACACTACCAGGGCTCCATAAGGGAGCAGATAACCTCATCTTTCTCCCTCTGAGTGGCTGGTGGCTCTGACCTTGGGGTTAACAGCCCCAAACACTAATCTACTGTGCCATCAGGGAACCTTTCTTAATCTATATACGTGATGGGATGTGATAGGAAGAATTCAGGAGCAATTCTTTTTGCTACTTCTACTTAGAAACAGAGTGAAATATGAGTGACAGGCTTGGTAATTTTTAGAGGGAAGATGTGGGAAGTTGAAAACCATGTTTAACAATATAGTAAGTAGACAGTTGTGACAGTATGGTAGGGACTTGGAGGAAGAATGTAAAATTGAGGTCTTGATCACTTAGGATTTGTTGGTTCCTGGTGGGCAGTGTTGGAAAGGTTGGAGGACCTTAAGGGATTCTGATGTTATTTCTAGAGTTGGGAAGATGTTACTTTATCCCATCAGGGCAGGTGTTGCTTGCTGTCAAGTTGATTCCAACTCCTAGGAGCGCTGGTGGCGCAGTGGATAAACACTCAGCTGCCAAATGAAAAGTCGGCTCAGACCCAACAGGCAACCCGCTGGAGATGTCTGCTTCCCTCAAGAGTACAACGTAGGAAGCCCTGTGGGTAATTCTGCTCAGTCTTACAGAATCATTATGAGTTGGAATTGACTTGAAGGCAACATGCTTGGTTTTTTGCGTGCTTGTTTATTAGGACAGTTACCCTGTATACTTGATAGACCTTAAACAGACTAAGCTTATTTTGCCTTTTGCACTTGCTATTCTGTCTCCTGAGAAAGAGAGGCTTTCTACTCACGTAAAGAGTTACAGTCTTGGAAACTCACAGGGGCAATTCTACCCTGCCCTATAAGGTCACTATGAGGCGACATCAACTCGATCGATGGCAGCGATTTTTTTTTTCTTTTTCTTTTTGGTTATTCTTTGCCTGGCACTTCCTACCTCGTTGTGTCTTAACCGCAATCCTGTCTTTGTATAACAGCTCCACTCAGGTCTCACCTCAGATGTCATAGTAAAGAGGCATTTTTAAGCTCCTTATTAGAGCAGCCTTTTCGTCACTCTTACCTCATTTTTGTCCTTCTTTATTTCATAGCATCTATTCCTAGGTGAGGGGTTTATTGCTTACTCGCATGGCAGAGATTTTCCCTCACCTCCCACCCCATTTTGTAACCTCGATGCCTCAAATGATGCCTGGAACAAAGTCGGTGCTCAAAAAATATCTCTTGGACAAAGCTAGCATCGTGTTCCCTGTATTGATAAAGGCAAGGCATGAGGGGCTCCAAAAGCTCATGGGAAAATAGCATTACCTTTTAATTCCATGTTACTACCAGTTCTTTGAAGACCCCTTGTATATAACTAACTGGCTTGTTTTATAGCAAAGACAGTATGGGATGTGAGCAGTATCTAAATAGACCAATCCAGAGAATCTTCAGCTAAGAAAATTGGAAACCGATGTTTTTCTTTTTTAATTTTCAAGTCATTTAAAAGCATAGTTTTGAGAACACTCAGAGGCTTTTCATTTAGACTTAGCAATTTTAATATTTTGCCATATTTGCTGTATATCTCTAGATATATGTAGAGTAAATTCTACTTGTTGACTGGAGTCTTTCTAGCTTGAGAATGCCGGCTAAGCTGCAACTCGAGGTCTCCCTGTCTGAAACGCAGAGTGAAGAAAATTAAAGATGCATGCAACAATTAGTCCACAGGACTAATGGGTCGGTCACATAAGCCTCAGCTTCCAAGACCCTGATAGAAGAAGAACTAGATGGTGCCAGCTGCCACTGCTGACTGCCGTGAAAGGAATTACAGAAGCAGACCCTGGATGGAGTGAGGAAAATGTGGAGCTCAACAAAACACAAATTCCTTTTCTATTCAGGAGCAGCCCAGGATACCACATTTCACTTAGTTGTCAGGTCTCTCCATCGGTTCCCCTTGACTTAAGACAGTGGTTCTCAACCTTCCTAATGTCACAACCCTTTTACAGTTCCTCATGTGGTAGCGATTCCCCTCCAATCATAAAATTATTTTCATTGCTACTTCATAACTGTTTGCTACTGTTATGAATCGGGTGACCCCTGTGAAAGGGTCATTTGACACCCCCCACCCCCAAAGGCATCGCGACCCACAGGTTGAGAACCGCTGACCTAGGACAAGGACAACTCAGATTTTCCTGTCTGATGGCCTATACAGTTTTGAGGAGTACTGGTCAGGATATTGTAGAATTGGGATATCCCGTGTGTGTGTGTGTGTGTGTGTGTGTGTGAAAATGTATTTAACAAAGTCTTACACTAATTCAACAA